CAACAGTACCAAATAAGTGAAAGTGATTTTAAATGAAACTGACTCAACGAAATAAACATAAGTTGTAAAAACAACTTTTTCAGCCTTGCACCATCATCAGAAATGCCTCTCTTCTTATGTGCTGATGAGCTGAGAAATGTAAATATTCTCTCTGCTTGGGCTTTATGGACAGATTTAATGTAGAAGCGTGTTCCTGCTGCACAGAACTGTTCACACATTTCATTGAATTTGGGGCATATTAACATTGAAAAAGTGCAGAGAGGGCGTTGTTTACATTTTAACACTGAGAGGAGTCATTAAGTAAATCAGCATCAGCTGTGGCAGCTGGTCGCACAGCTGAACTGTGGTTTTATTAAAAACTCTTTTAGAATTTAATTTGAGTGAGGTTTCACTGCTGAGAAGGGTGCTGCTGCGTTTGCACAGTTAGATGCATGTGGATATATTTGTGTTTTGGTGTCTTTGATGAAGCTGCCTTACAATCCAAGCTGAGTTCTCTGTTGAGCTTCAGCAGCAAATATGTTTGCTTGAATTGTTTGGTTTCCACTTTGCTCTGGATGTTTTTATTTTCTGTGGTACTAGGATCCCTACATGTGTTTTATCTGAAGAGATAATTTTAAAAAAAAATACGGTTTGAGTTTGCTGTGCTCGGTAAGCGTGTCGCCATGAAGGAGGAAATTGCTGCCGCTGTGTTCTTTTTGGCTCGGCTGGTGAAGAGATACGGATGTCTGGACAATGACAGCAGAGAGCGCTTTGCTGCTTCCCTCACCTCCCTTCTGTTTGAGAGCTACAAGAACCACTGGCACCCAAGTGCACCCGCCAGGGGTCAGGCATACAGGTCAGTTTCAGTATTGTTTCAAAATGGCTGAAGGTCCTGCTTCCTTTTAAAAATAAAAAGTTAACCAAACATAATTTTAAAAATTAAAACTCAATTAAATTTAAGAGGAAAAACTTTGTTTCAAAGCTTGAATGTATCTATTTGGCACTCTCCTTTAAGTTGTATGGATTTACTATAAGACAAGTTGGTCGGGGACCCACAGGAAATCAGATTATTTGATCAGAAATAAATGGTTAAAAATAAAATAATTTAAGTATTATTTTTCAGACTGGTGGTTTATGTACATGTACTGCATCCAGAGTGTTATTGCAGGCATTTTAACTTTGAATATAAACTGCCTTGAGGTGACTGTTGTTGTGATTTGTTGCGTGGCTGAGTCGGAGCCTGAGAACCTTTTTGTAGTGAACAGCTATTTTGTAAAGTATCTATTCTTAAAGGTCTCGCTGCTGAAATAAGGTAAATGTTTCTCAGTAAAAATTCTCAATGAATATGCTTGCTTTAGTAACTTTGTTATTTTGTATATTTTGATACAATTACTGATTTTATTTTTAATGAATATCACTTTAATGTTGCAGCTGCTGATTGTATTAAATATACTGAGCTATAAAGTATCCAAATTTTTAAAATTGTAAGTCTATATCCTGGACTCTGCTGTATTCCTTGAACTCTTCCTGAGCAGGTTTATGTATTATGGCAGGACGCACAGTCTTGCTTTAGGGGCCTTAGGGGTATGCTCGGTCTGCATAAATGTTTAAAATTTATATTGTGGAAAAATAATCAAATTTATTCACCTTACTTGGTGGTTTAAATGTTGTGGCTGAACGGTATTTATGATCTATTTATTTTA